ATGGAATACCTCTGTTCAAATCAGCCAGAAAACACCCTCCTAAGTGCACCTGGTATTGCAATTTAGGCTCATGAAAATGTTTCTCTAGAATGGTCTTTTCTTATCTACTTTTTGTTGTTGTTGTTGTTGTTGAGACAATGTTTCTCTGTGTAGCTTTGGCTGTCCTGGAACTCACTCTGTAAACCAGGCTGACCTCAAACTCCCAGACAGCTGCCTGCCTTCTGGGATTAAAGGTGTGCACCACAACCACCCAGCTCAATCCACCTGGCCTTGATTTTTATTTATTTTTTATTTTATTTCGTATGCATTGGTGTTTTTGCCTGTGTGTATATCTGTATGAGGATGTCAGGTGCCCTGGAACTGGAGTTACAGACAGTTATGAGCTGTCATGTGGATGCTGAGAATTGAACCTGGATCCTCTGGAAGAACAGCCAGTGCTCCTTACCACTGAGCCATCTTCCTGGCTTTGATCTTTGTTATGAATTGAGCTGGTTACACAAGGAAAAGTTAGCAGAAGTAGCTGTGCGGTAATAGGCAGTGAGAGGGAAGCAGAATTAATGGCAGGAGCAGCAGCAAGAGAGCAGTTGAAGAATCCCAGGGCACAAGATGAGGTAGAGAAGAGAGGCAGGGCCAGCAAAGGCTTTGAAGAGCTTCCAATGAGGAACTATTGACCCAAGTTCCTAGAAGAACTCAAGAGAGCTGCCCAAACCTTAAGCAGCGCTTCTCGACCTTCCTAATGCTAGGACCCTTTAATACAGTTCCTCATATTGTGCTGACCCCAACCATAAAATGATTTCCTTCATAGTTCATAGTGTAACTTCACTACTGTTAGGTATCATTACATAAATATCTGATAATGCAGGGTATCTGATATGTGACCCCTGTGAAAGGGTCATTCCACCCCGACAGGGTCTTGACCCACAGGTTGAGTGCTGCTGCCTTGAGGACTAAGGATTTACCACTATCGAGGGCCAAGGACCCTGACATACTGAGCCAGAGCTGTCCCTTTAGATACTGTAGAAACTCAGGATTTCAACATGCATGCTTATTTCGGAACAATGATAGCAAACATTGCCACCTGTTGTTGCTGCCACTGCTGCTGCTGCTGATAATGATGATGATGATGCTGGAAGCCGAAGATTGGAATAGTTCCATGGCCTTCAGTGGCTAAAGCTTAGAGCAACAGGGCTCCAACTAGAACCCCAAGTCTCTAACTTCTAAGCCTAGAACAATAAGCTCCCAGCTGTCAAGGCTTTGACTATAACCTACTGGTTACAGTCCAGCTTAGAAGCATTCAAGCTTCTAAGCATTCATTCAGCTTAGAAGTTCTGAGCATTCAAAAGCTCAGGATTGCCAGTCGTAAAGGACTTTCTCTTATCTACTAGTAATTACTACCTGGGTGGAGCAAAAGGCCCCCAGCTAGCTGATTGGGAACACAGACACCCTGCTGTGCAACGCTAAGGAGGAGATACACATTTGCCTTCATTGCTCCCCTGTTTTGTCTTTTTGACACATAAGCAGGAGGTAGAGTCGAGGATGCTAAGGCTGGTTTTCAGGTGCATTCGAGTTGGGGTCACCAGAGCAGTTTGGGAGTGGGATGAGTTATTTCTGCTTTAGCTAGGCTACTGCCAGATGATTTCTCTGTCTTCCTGTGTCTAAGAACACAGGCCATATTAATTGATCACTTTTTCAGACAGCCCCACATCCTTTCTCTCTGTTCTGGAGTTCCATTTGAAACTCTAAATCTTTGTTCCATCTGGGTAGCAGGGAGGATGTATGCAGAGCAGGCTGAGAGAGCTGAGAGAGGCCTGGCCCTTTTGTCGTAGCTCATTTTGTTTCATGCTCCCTTTCTTAATAGCTCTGAGATGAATGTCCCTTCAGCCTTGCTCTGGCCTTGTGCAAAGAGTTGAGTTACTAGTCACAAATATGAGCGTTTATTTATCTGGCTTTATCAAAATAACAAATTTATATAAAATGGTGACACATCAAAAACATTCCAGATTGTGTGTGTGTGTGTGTGTGTGTGTGTGTGTGTATTTTTTAAAGATTTACTTATTTATGCATTTTATGTATACGAGTGCTCTGTCTTCAGGAATGTGTTTGCACCAGAAGATTCCTTTATCATAAAAATACCAAGATGGTAAATTAATTTGCTATATGACATCTTCACCTGGAATCATTTAGAGGACTTGGGGCGCTGATGGAAGTCATGGATTTTAAGAAAACCTCACTATGGTACTAGGAAAAAAAAAAAGCCACTACATTAGCAACATCATCAGTAAAAAGCAAGGGTGATGAATTCACCATGGGTAAATTTAATAGCGGCCACAGCACCATTTGCTAGAAATTCACTTGCAATCTGAATTATTTTAAATAAGGCATCACATGTAGTGTAAAAAAGAAAAAGTCCCCTACTCGGTTCCCATTAATTTCCCAGCCAGTAACTTTGAAATATTGTAAAATGCTCAGGTCAGCAACGCAAACCCACTCAACCAGGGAGAAAATGGGCCATTCCTCTTTGGTGCCCAGCTGAAGCCCCCACTTAGGAGCTATCTCCCTGTTCTTTAAGAGTCTTTTAACTGTGGCATTTCTTGATTTTAACTGGGCTGAAGCAGCTCCCCAGGACCCAGGGAAAAGGGAGTGAATTGGGTTTTCTCTGCATTACAAGGGAATTATCCAGGCCCCCAAGTGGCAACCTGCCCAGATTAGTGTTAAGGCCAGTGTGACACCAGCTGGGATGAAGACAGAGACAGACATGCTGGCTTTTGTATCACTGGAAACTCAGAAATGCTGAGGAGGTAAAGGAAAGAAATGTGTCTGTAGTTTTTGTAGCCCATTAAAGGGCTTCAGCTTTTCTATCCTGCTCCTGCGCACAAGAGCAGCCGCCGAGAAATCCAGAGGCCATTTGGCTGCTTCTCACATCCAGGAAGGGCTTCAGCTCTTGGCATTTGATGTCAGCATCAAAGACAACCATTCATCCAGTTGCTGAAACATATCCCAACTGAAAGAGGATGACATTTATAGGAAAATCCTCCTCCACCTGGTGTGCTTGCCTGTGGCCCTGGACACTCACACACACCAAGAATCATTATTATTGCATGAATGATGCATACATTACAGCAGCCAATGTAAATAAGATTTAAAATTCACCACACAGCCACGTAATGTAACACAAAGTATGGGTAATCCCAACAGTTGGGCAGTTAAAGCAGGATGGTGAGTTAGAAGCCAGCTGGGCCACATAGGGGGCTTCAGGCTGGTGTGAACTATATAGTGAGAACTTGTCACAAAGAAAATAAAATCCAAGGGCTAGGGTAGAGTTCATAGGCAGACCATTTGCCTAGCATGTGCAAGACCTGGAGCTTGATCCCTGACACAAGAGGTCGGGGAGGGAGGAAGAAGGAGGAGGTAGAGAGGGAGTAAGGGAGAGAGGGAGGGAGGGAAGGAAGGAAGAAGGATTTTTGAAAAAGTTTTGAAATGTTTCCTTTACTTTATATAGTAAGAGCCACAAAATAAATAAATAAATAAAGGGCTCTCTCAACTTCTCCAAGACCTGTCTGACAGGATGGCTGAATTGCTAATGATGAGAGGTTACATTTTTAACCCCACTTAATTCACTTCAATTATTACTCATTTGTTGTTTAAATAGCAAGGTTGTGTTTTGTTGTTGTCACTGTTTTGTTTTTGAATGTGGATCCTGGCACTTGGGAGACTACGTCTCAAAACTAACAAGCAAATTAAATGAGTAAGTAAATAAGAGTAGGAATTCCTAACCAGTAAGTCCACTAGCACAGCCCCCTGTACTAGACAAAGAGTGTGTGTGTGTGTGTGTGTGTGTGTGTGTGTGTGTGTGTGTGTGTGTGTGTGTGATGGTAGGGTGTTCTTCTAGATTTACAACAGCCCTGAGGTAAGATTATTATCCAGGTTTAACCTCAACCTCGAGAATTAGCCTCAGCCTAAAAATCATTCACCTGATAGAACGTTTGAACCCCAATGTCTTCCTCTCTGACACCATGGCCATGTTCTTACCTAAACCATAGAATCACTAAACAGCAGTGACTGATTCTATAGGAAAGCTAAAAGACAACTTTAGAAACCTTTCCCCATCAGGGCCAGACCAGGAGATCCGAAAGGTCAAACTCTGCTCTCTGGACTTCCGGTTCCAGCTCTGACTGACCAGTTTCTCAGTCAGCACAGTCTTCTTCAGAAAGATAACAAACCATAACACAGATGACAGGCTGGCCTTTCAACAAGCTAACTCTGGAAGTTCTCCTGAGGGTGGACACAGCTTCCGTTGGGAAGGTTCTGACACTTCCAGCAGCCTGTGCATCACAGCTCTGTTCATACTTGATTTGCAGAAGGCATCGTTGCATTTATTGCTTTGCCCTTCCTCCACATGCTTAATTTTGTTGTGTAGTTTCCGGAATGAACCAATAATTCTTTTCTTTCTTTCTTTCTTCCTTCCTCCCTTCCCTCCTCCTCCTCCTCCTCCTCCTCTTCCTCCTCCTCCTCCTTCTTCTTCTTCTTCTTCTTCTTCTTCTTTTTGAGACAGGGTGTCACTGTATATCCCTGGCTGGCCTATGTAAACCAGACCTCAAACTCAACAGAAACTGATCTGCCTCTGCCTCCCAAGTGCTAAGATTAAAAGAATACACTATCATGCCCAGCCCAACAAATTTTGTCTAGGTATGGGCATATTGTCTAGACCAGGAACAAACCTTCCTACAGAGCATATCTTGTTCTCTGTAAAAGTTACTAAATAAGTAGCATGGATACATGAGAATATTGCAAAGGTACAAAGACTACATGATGAGATGTAAGTCTTTCCCACCCAGCTCCCCCTGCTCCGTCCCTCCTCTCACTCCTCACCTCTGCAGAGACAGCTACTGTCTTAACTATGGAGCTAATCCATGAGAAGCATTGAGTTTATCCATTTAACAGTAACATCCCAGCCATTCATTTTCAAAACAACAAAAAAAAAACATTTTATTATTTGATTTTGTGCATATGGATGCTTTGCCCGAATGTATTTCTCAGTATCACTTGCATGCCTTCAGAAGTCAGGAGAGGGTAGAGGATCTTGTTCGGAACATAAGTCAACTTGTCACAGTCTAAAGTCATCTGAAAGGAAAGAACCTTAACTGAGAAAATGATTCCATAAGATTAAGGTGTAGGCAAGCCTGTAAGGCATTCTCTTAAGTGACTGATGGGAGAGGACCCAGCCCATTGTGGGTGATTCCATCCCCAGGTGGTCCTGGGGTCTATAAGAAAACAGACTGAGTAAGTCATGAGAAGCAATCCAGTAAGCAGCACCCCTCCATGGCCTCTGCATCAGCTCCTGCCTCCAGGTTCCTGCCCTGTTTGAGTTCCTGTCCTGACTTCCTTCAATGATACAGTGATATGGAAACCTAAGCGAAATAAACCATTCCCTCCCCAAGTTGCTTTGGTCATGGTGTTTGCTCACAGCAATAGGAACCTAACTAAGACAGATCCCCTGAAGCTAGAGTTACAGAGAGTTGTCATCTGCCTAACAACGGTGTTGGAGCAGTATGCACTCTTAACTGCTGGGCCATTTCTCCAGTCCTTAGGTTGTTTCTTATACTTTGCTGTTGTAATAATGCTACAATGACTTCCTTTTAACCTGTAACAATTTATAAAGCCAAGTCTATAATATTAATCCCTACAGGTGAAGTTACTCTGTCAATTTAATACGTCCTTCCCAGAAGGTAAGTGTGCTTGCTTCCAGTGTCCTCCCTGTACAGTGTGTACCAGACTTTTGGATCTGTGTCAGTCAATTTGATTTCTGTAATCGTACTTCCTTGTTGTCACCACCAGCCTGCAAATAATGACCTGGAGATTTCTTATTAATTATGAAAGCTTAGTCATTAGCTTAGGCTTGTCCCACTAGCTCTTACGCCTTATATTAACCTTTTATTAATCTACATTCTGCCGTGTGGCTTGGTTACCTCTACTCTGTACAGTATGTCCAACCTCTTCAGTGTCTCTCTGGCATCTCCTTGGTGCCTAGATTCCTTCTCTTCCATTCTCTCCCTGGAAGTCCTGTCTATCCTCTCCTGCCTAGCTACTGGCCATTCAGCTCTTTATTAAACCAATACATCTTCACACAGTGTACAAATACCCCACAACAGATTTCTCTCTTTATTATAAAGGCTGGAGAGATGGCTCAGGGGTTAAGACTGTTCTTCCAGAGGACCCGAGTTCAATTCTTAGCACCCACATGGCAGCTCACAACTGTCTGCAACTCCAAGATCTGACACTCTACACAGACATGCATGCAGGCAAAACACCAATGCACATAAAATAAAAACAAATAAATTTAAAAGAATAAATAAAGGTAACTGCAACTTTTCATGTTTATAAGACATGTTTTCTTTTCCTATCTTTAATGTCCACTGCCTATATTTCTAATAAGTATTTGCTCCTTTTTCTTATTAATGCGTAGCAATGCTTTCTTATATGGGAGAGGTAGACCTTACAGAATAGTTGTTACTTTTCTCAAATTATTGTTTACCTTTTAATGTTGTTTCTTAGCTGGAAAAATGTTTTCTTTTTATACATTAAAATGTATCAATCCTCTCTTTTATGACCTCTGGGGTTAGTATCACCCTTACAAAGCCCTTTCCCATATGGATGTTATCTAAAACGCTCCTATGTTTTTGTCTAGCATTTTATGACTTTGTGTTTTGTGTTTAAATCTTTGATTCATCTGGAATACATTAGATCCAAGGAGCAAGTTAGCGATTCGGTTTTTAGTTTTCTAGATGGTTGCCAAGTTGACCAAAAACCATTTTGTATTTTATGATTTGAGGATAATTTCTGGGAACACAGTTAGGGAATCTGGAAATTGGAATTACCTAGCCTCCAATCCTTTAGAAAACTCATAGTGTTCTATGTAATCATGTGACAAACACCATGATTACCCGGTGAGAAAGGGTGTGGAAACTGGAGAGGCAGCAGTACAGTGAAGAGACTTACTACTCATGCGAAGAGCCCAGGGCTTGGTTCCCAGCACCCACAATTATGACTCCAGTTACAGAGGCTCTGACTCCTACTCTGACATGCAGAAATGAGGTGTACACACAGTGGTTAAATTTTGGTTTGGTTTTGTTCTATCCGTGTTGCTTTAGAAAAGTTTCCCTCGGCATTACAATATGATCTGAGACTTGTCACCTAACTTGGTAGAATTTTTGTCACATTTTGAGTAATGTTAACAGGTTTCTTTCCTACATGAGCTGTAAAATTTCCAGTCACTTCCTATTTTCTTTCTGAGTGACCAATTTTCAGTTCTCTTTAAGTTGATAATGCCTGCTAGCCAGCTGTCACCATTGGTCCCTGTGTAAATATACGTGAGAACCGCATAATTATCTCTTGTCTATGCTTGACATTACATGGATGGCATTATAATCCTCATCATGTTTATGTTCTCTTCTGATCTTCGTTGATTTGATTCTCAAACAACCCAAGAGAGTACACATGCCTCCTACTCAAACTATATCTCTTCTCAGTAATTTACTGTTTGGGGGGCAAGATTAACTTTTGGGGGTTCAAATTTACTTTTTATGTCATCGTTTATCTTCCTTGCTTTTTATTTCATATTCCATCATTTTTTAAAGATCTATTTTATTTTTAGTTATGTGTATGTGTGCCCACAGGGGCCAGTAGAGGGTGATGGATCCGCTTGAGCTGGAGTTACAGGCGGTTGTGAACTTTCAGATACAGGCAATGGGACCTGAACCCTGATCTCTTGTAAGAACAGCCAGCAATCCTAACCACTGAGCCATCTCTACAGGTACAGATTTCATTATTTTTATAAGAAACTTCTGATCAAAGAAATAATTAATACTGAAATTATAAACCATGTACACAATCTTTAAAAGGATTGTAGAAACCAGTGGGCCAGAACTTAAGGTATAGTCTGAGGGAAATTCACAACCCAAATAACAAAAAGAAGTGAGTTTCATTTTGAAGAAAGTAGAAAAAATGCAGAGAGGGATCAAGTGAAAATAGTAACCAATTAGTAAGTCAGATGTTGAAATTGGTGAAATAATTTTTAAGGACACAGAAATGTAAATAAAACCTCTAAATACGGTGTTTGGAACAAACCAATAAAAGGAGTAAACCTCCTTCAAATCTAGTTAAGGAAAACAATACAGAAAACAGAAACAAAGGAATAGGAATAAAAGGTAAAAAGGAAGCAATAAGGGTGAATAGTAAGTTAAATTCTGGGCTATTTTAGACTAAAGAGAAAATAAGGGTTTATGTATTAAATTTTCAGACAAAAAGCTAATACATTTCTAAATGTTACATGAAAACAACAGTGAAAGCTCTGTGATGCTGCCCTGAATCCAGCTTCCTGCCGGAGGCTCATGAAAACTAACTCCACAATTAAAAATGAACAATAGGAAACAGCAGAGATCAAGGGCCATGCAAACTTATCACACAACAAAAGCTAATAATCTGCAGTACTAGGGACATTTCTTCTTAGTTTGCCTTTATTTACACTCTGAAAAGATAGTGAGGGAGGGGCTGGAGGGATAGCTATGTGGTTAAGAACACTGGCTGCCCTTACAGAGAGGATGGGCCCAATTCCCAGCAGCCATATGGTTCACAACCATCTGTAACTGCACTTCCAGGAGACCCCACCCCCTCCTCTGACTTCTGTGGACATCAGGCATGCACATGGTACATGGACATACATACAGGCAAAACACTGATACACACAAAACAAAATAAATAACTCTTCTAAAAATTATTTAGATAGTAAAGTGATCCTCCAAAAAAAAATCTTTTTTTCTTTTTTTCAAGACAGGGTTTCTCTGTGTAGCCCCGGCTGTCCTGTAACTAACTTTGTGGACCAGGCCGTCCCTCAAAGTCACAGAGATCCTCCTGCCTCTGCCTCCTGAGTGCTGGGATTAAAGGAATGGGTCACCACTGCCTAGCCAAAAAAAAACAAAAAAAAACAAAAAAAACACCTTTTTATTGTTTTGTTTTTGCCTTATATTGCTATTTTGTTTTGAGACAGGGTTTTTACATGTCTTAGACTGGCTTTGAACTCACCATGTAGCTGAAGATGACCTTGAACTCCTGGTCCTCCTGCCTCCACCTCCAGTGAGTGCTGGGATTATGGCCATGTGCTGCAGTGCTCTGGCAGGAGAGACAAGAACTCTACAAAACAACTATGACCCCTGCTGTACCTCAAATTCTTTATGCGGTCACATTACACTTATTGTACTGTATCCAATCCAAAAATTCAAACCAAGTGATATTCAAAATATTCATTAGCTAAAAGAATGTGACCATTTCATGTTTACTGGATGAGAAATATCTGTGTCTTCTAAAACAAAAAGTAACTTAGTAAGAAGAAAGCTGTTGTCTTATATTTATGTGGCCCCTTCAAATATCAAACTTAGAAGAAAAGAGCTGGGTATCCATATGTGCTACTGCATTTCATTTCTTACATGCTATATTAGTCAAATGATACGAAAAGATCTGGCTTAGCACGGGTGTATAATTGTAATTGGCAAGGAAAATGCACGTTTAAAACTAAGACTAAAAAATTGAAATGCTTCACAAATTTGCATGTCACTCTTGTGAAGAGGCCATGCTGATCTTCTCTGTCTTGTTCCAAAGGGAAGAAAGCGTCTCAATACATTTTTTCCAAATAATCAAGAACAGTCTTCAATAGTACCAAACTTGAACAAGTTATGATAGTGGTTTGAAAGTTAGCTGACACATAGAATATGAAAGCCAGTCAATAAATGCTTCACATTCTTCCATGAGAATGGATTGGATTCATCTTTGAGTGGCTCTTTTACCTAGGCACAACTTTATAGCAATGTGTTGATCATGCGAATAACTTTGGTTCTGAATCATACAGGGATTCTAAAAAAAAAAAAAAAAAAAACATGAGTAAATGTCACAACCACTTTTGCCAGAAAAATCTTAATGTTTTAGGGGCTGCCAAGCTAGTGGAGGCACAAATAATCTTTCTAAAATTCTAGTTTTCATTTGAAAGCTCAAACTTGATAATAGGCAATAAATACTAGCAGTCATTGGACTGGGGATATTTGGATCATTAGATAGGTTTTCCTCCACTAACCGTAACAAGGTGGGCATGATACAACTCCTAAAAAGTCTTCTCACTAAGCATCGATGTTTTACTGAACAATTGTATATGCTATATCTGGGATAAAGGAAATGAATAATCACATGTGTTCTAATTCTATTATCCCCTATAACCTCGAGAACCAGGACTCTCAGTGTGGAAATAACTAGAGGCAACTACAAAGTGGAAGAGGCTAAGTAAAAAGCTATGGACTCAACACTGTAAACTCACAAGGAATTTTACCATGGAAACTATATGTAGACATTTAGTAGCCAGGCGGTGGTGGCGCACACCTTTAATCCCAGCACACAGGAGGCAGAGGCAGGAAGATCTCTGTGAGTTAGAGGCCAGCCTGGTCTACAGAATATCATAGCTGGACCCTTACCAATTTTTTAATTAATATTTTCATTTATTTTACATCCCAGTTGAAGCTTCCCCTCCCCCTAGTTTAAAGATTTTAAAGGCAGGCAAGACATTTTAAATGGACAAGAGGAAATGATCATGTCTAGTAAATGGTTACTCCCCTGGTGATAACACTATGAAGAAATACCAGCAAGTGAGTAGAGTCAGGATTGGATGGTTCTCCAGAGGTGACAGATGGGACTATGATCAGAGCAAGGGTCACTCTTGTATTACTTCATAAACTTATTTTGTTCCAACTTCTGTGATTGTTTCTATTTTACAACAAAAATATTTTGGAGGAAGGGGAGTAGGGGAGTTTGGGGAAGGAAAGAAAGGAAGAGAAGGAGTGGGGAGGTGCCAGATTATATCACTGAGTCTGCTCTCATCCTTGCAGGTAACTTGGACTTTCTTCCAAAGACCTGCCCAAGTTCATTCTGCCAACAACTACTCCACTGAACAGGATTAAAGGGAGAGGTGAAGGTCAAAATTAAGTGACTTATGTTTCCACCAGTGAGTCCTGAGTGTGCAAAGTGATAGTTTGTTGCAGGACAGGGGTGATGGCACATACTTTTTCTCCTAGCAATTAGGAGGCAAAGGCAGGCAGGTCTCTGGGAGTCTGAGGCAGCCTGATCTACATAGAATGTTCAAGCCAGCCAGGGATATACAGTGAGACCCTGTCTCAAACAAAAGATATACCAATTGCCAACATTGACTGAAGAAGCAATGCAAAATTCAAATACACCTGTCATAATTTTCATGTTTTAAAAATAATTAAAGACCTATATTTTTGACACCTGTAGGTTTGGTTATAATTAAGATATGTCTAATCTTTAAACAACAGATGAGGCCCTTGTTTTTTTAAATTCTCTCAAATCATTTCAAATATGCAAAATTCATTATTTTATGAGGCTAACAGAACTTTAGTACTTAGACTATTAGAAATAGAACTCCCAAATGACCATAACAGATGATTCCCATTTCTGAGGAAGATATTTTAGAGCTAAATAGGATATGAAAATTTTACCTGATATATGATTCACAGGTTTACTGGAAGAATTTAAGGCTGGTTTAAGTGCAGCAATTTCTCAACATTTCAGATGTTCTTAGTAAGCAAAAGAAAAAAATCAACATCTATGTCTAATACAAACTCAAAGGGAAGTGTCTAAATGCGATAAACTCTATCAAACCTAACATCAACAATTATTCAAAAAAATATCATTCAAGAACTGGGCATGATAGTACATATCTGTAATCCCAGCACTCAGGAGGTGGAGGCAGGAGTAACATGAATTCAAGGCTAGCCTGGACTACGAAGAGAATCACGCACACACTAAAAACATTCATCAAAAGATGAATTTCTCCTGGCCAGTAGTGGTACACACCTTCAATCCCAGCACTTGGGAGACAGAGGCAGGTAGATCTCTGTGAGTTCGAGGCCAGCCTGGTCTACAGAGTGAGTTTCAGGACAGCCAGGGCTATGCAGATCAACTCTGTCTCAGGGAGAGGGAGGGATAAATTTCTAAGCCACTGATTTATAAGCAAAATCAATAAAGGTGCCACTGCTACCTGTGCCAATAGTTTAGATATCCTAGCCAGGGAAAATTAAATAATTTGATCAGTGCAAAAGTTTTTCCTCCTCCTTCCCTCAGTGTGTAGCTGAGGCTGGCCTAGAACTTGCTCTCTGTCCTGCCTCTACATCCCCAGTGCTGGAATTACAGTAGGCATGCACTACCACAGCTAGCTAAAGATTTTAAAATCAAAAACTAAAAATTTAGCGGGCAAGAGTGGAGGAGAAAGCTGGCCTCTCCAGCCTGTATATTTTTGTTTATGTGTACTGAAAAGTTCTTTAAAAACTAAACAAAGCGCCAGGCGGTGGTGGTGTGTACCTTCAATCCCAGCACTCAGGAGGCAGAGGCAGGTGGCTCTATGTGAGTTTGAGACCAGCTTGGTCTACAAAATCGAGTTCCAGGACAGCCTCCAAAGCCACAGAGAAACAAAAAAACAAAAAACAAAAAACAAAACAAAAAAAAACCTAAACAAAATTTCCAATTAGAGTATTTCATATAAACACCCACTTTTCTGGTTCATTTTAAAGACTGGAAAATATAATTAGGTAGAATTTTGTACAGCATAAGATGGGAGTGAGAATCAAAGGGGACGTGTCTCAGAATGTGTCTCCTGTACAGTGACATACGACAGCAACTGGACTGTTATTACAACTCCCATAAAGTTATGTATACAAAGGGAACCCTGGAAGTCCAGAAGTGTTCAGACACGTGCCTGCACAGAATAGAGGACCAGAAATAGAAGCCAGAGTATGAGAACTTCATGGACCACAAAGGCGGAATTTCAGTTTAGAAGAGAAAGATAATTTATTTACCAAAGTGGCATAGCAAGCCAGCCATCTGGGAGAAATGCACATCACACACCAAAATAAATTCCAGATGGATTCCACATTACACATAACAAACATGAAATGAAACTCTTAGAAAATTTAAGAGAGTAACCAACCTTGGGGTGAGAGAGGCATTTTTAAATATGACAGAAAACTCAGACGCAATAAATGAAAAGGCAGACGTATTTGACAACATACAATTTAACATTTTTATACAGCAAAAACACCAGCATGAGTTGGAGGGGAAAAAAACCAATTCTCTTGAAAAATGCTTACAGCTCACCAACTCAGTTAAAATGTTTTAAAATGCTTTATTCGATAGTTGCCATTGGATGCAATTCTGAATAGAATGAAGAATATCCTTGCCTTCGCAACCTCACATTCCAGTGACAAATGATACAGTTGAGTGATAACGTAGAGTTCTTGCAAGTGAGAGAGAGCAAAGAGCAAATGGAAACATAAGGAAATACAAATGAGGATTGCAGATAATGCTAGCATCGAGGAAGGATGCCTCTGGCATTCTTAGAAAGGAGATGACGCATGCCTCCTCCCAACTCTGCATTCAGTGACTTCCTGCTGGTAGCTTGAATTTAGTGATGATGGGAATATTTATACCACAGAAACTAGCAAATGTTACATATCCCATTTTCACTTATTGTATTATTGGCTGCCTAAACTTAAGAAAGAGTAAAAGTGTTAAAAATATACATTAAACTTAAAGGCATGGCACAGTCTGTAGACACTGTGAATGACAGAAAACATTAAGTTGATATCTACCATTATTTCAAAATTCCCCAATTTGGGAAAGACATTGCTTTCATCGCTGATGAATGAGGGTCCTGTCATCAGATAACCCTGAAGCTGAAAGGGATTGCAGTTAGTGAATGTAATTTGTGTAAGCACAAGTCCTAAGCTTGATAGTGTTGATGGGGGGCAGGGGGAGTGAAATCCCACTTGCTAAATCATGGTAGAATTGCAACCACAGACATGTTCTTCAGCAAAAATCAAAGCATTTGGTAATAGTCAGGTTCTGTGAAACTTGAAAATGTCCTGGATAGGTTTGAAATGACTACTGACTACTCTTCTAGAGGCCCTGGGTTCAATTCCCAGCACCCACATGGCAGCTCACAATGGTCTGTAACTCCAGTCCCAGGGGCCCAAATGCCCTGTTCTGGACTCTGCAGGCACCAGACATGCACATGGTGCAAAGACGTATACATGCAAGCAAAACACTTGGAGACATAAAATAAAAATAAACATTTTTTTAATTTTTAAATAATTTTTTTAAAAAGGAAAGAGAAACATTCCTGGGTATTTTTATTTGTAAGTTGCAAAGCATTACTATCTGCAAATTTTGCAAAAATACATTTATTATATTAATATTTATTTATTAAATATTTGTTATTATCTATGTGAATGAACTTATATATATACAGTGAACATACATTTGAAAACCATCTACACACATGCTGTGTGTGTGTGTGTGTGAGAGAGAGAGAGAGAGAGAGAGAGAGAGAGAGAGAGAGAGAGACCAGTTAAACACCTGGCAGCACACCACTTCTTCTACCTACATCTCTTCATAGCTAGAAATTCTGCTGCTGTGGTGAGAGACTTTTAGGGGGAAGAACCAACAATATTGGGCACAACTGCTGTTTTTATCGTATTAAAGTGCGGCCGTACACACCCATAATTTCATCGTTTTGGAAGCTAATGCCATAGGATCACCTACTGTTCAATGCCAGCCTGGAGAGAGTAAGACCTTGTCTCTGGCAAGATGGCTCAGACAGTGAAGGCACTGGCAGCACATGCCTGATGACCATTCCTGGATCCCTCGGTGGAAGGAGGGAACCTCTCAAAAGATGTCTTCTGACCTGCATAGGGGTGTCATGGTGTGTGTGTGCCCCCACACACAGACTCGCAAATCCTCACACACACACACACGTAAATAAACAGATAAATGAATAAGCAGGAAACAGTACG